TTGGGGTCATGACAGCGGTAGAGGAAACAGGGATGGGTGTGTCACTCTTTGCTGCCTCTACAAGATCAGGGTTCTAAAACTCAAGAGGAGCCCTATGTGAATAGAGCAATCTCCCTGCTTCAGAAAACTCCTTCTACTTGTGAAGTGTCCATGCTTCTCCATGCTTTCTCTTCCACAAAATGTTCGTTGCATGGTTTGGGTATGAGGACCCCTCTTCAGTCCTAAGGCTGCAGACCTGTGGTGCATGGGGCCAGAGGCGAAAGTGGATGGAGCAACAACAACTGTGACTTTCCCCCTTGCATGGTGGGCCAGACAAAAGTGAGAGGTTTCTTCCCACACTCCCACATCCCTCCCATCCATGCAAACAAGCAAGCAAGAGACACTGCCAGAGTTCAGGGACAGATTCCAGCCAGGCAAAAGTACTTAAGGAACAGAGCAGGGCCAGTGAGGGGCATGATCTGGGGAGAGTCCCATGGGGTAGATAAAGAGGGTCACATTTGGACCCTAGGCCTGAGGTTCCCCACCTCTGGCATGAATAAGGAAATACCTGAAAAGGAATACAGCTTCAGCATATTGGTAAACTTGCACAGTAGCAATAAAATGTGCATTTCTTGCCTAGAAAGTGGAGGAGGAGGATCTCCAAATTGGCTTTCTTGGGGAATGTTGGAAATAGGGAAAAGCTTTGTCCTGTTCCTCTGCCAATCCCTAGGCCTTCTCAGTAAGAGACAGTCTGGCAGTCCGATGTTAGTTATGGCTCCAGTTCTCTGGCATACGTAACATAACTGCGATTTTATATGTCTAATAAGTGAAAATAAGTTTTCTGCTTCAGAAGCAGTGGAAATAATTACTTAAATAAATCTGAGATAGTCTCAAAGAGTAACTTGATAGAGCTGCTGCATTTGGGGCTGACCTGGTTTGACCTGTGGCCAGTGACCTTCTCTTGTCCTTCATCCAAACAAAAAAAGTTTTTTTTAAAAGAATCTGGCAGCAAACATCCTCAACTCTGTTTGAGTAGCTCTAATTTACATAACTTAGGTAGGCGTAAAAGATGAGGAATGACCTTTTCAACATGACTTCAGATATTAAAACGATCTTACAATCTTATTATCATGAGAACATTTCGCAGAGTATTAAGCTCAATAAATTACCTTTTCCCCAAGCTGATAACCCTCGATCCCTCAGGGGCAGCAGCAGCAATGATGTTGGTTCACGGCCTTCTTATTTTAGCTGAATTGCTTAATTGGTATGTGTTCTACATCCCAGATTGAGTATTTGGAGCGCAAATGAAGGTTAGAACCTTTGTGCTAGTTATCGACGGGAGGAAAATTGATTCATGCTCAGGAGTGTGGTTGGGAGACGGTTCACCATTCTCACTTGGAAGGCAATATCCTTCCAGAGGTAGCTTTTTCCTCTCCTCTAATTCTTTTTTTTTTTTGCAAAAGGTTATTGCAGAAGGGAAGTACACTCTGCCAGAGATTAAAGGCCCCTGGGAGGCTGCTTCCCCTGCCTCCCAGGAATAACATCAACCACTCTCAGGAATATGAGAAGGGGTTGTTGCTGCTTGCGTGCATGCAGCAGGTCCCAGGTTCCACGCCTGTCATCTCCTGGTAGGGCTGGGATTGGTTGTGAGTCATAGAAGGCAGACAGTTGGCTGACAACAGACTGAGGTTGGTGGGGAAATGCCCCATCACCCTAATGGAGCGACCTCCACTGTTGCAGTTGTCTTTGTGGCCTTTTGTACGCCTCTCCCAGAATGGGCTGATTCATACACCCCTTTCATTTTATGATACATTGATGTCAACACCAGGCGACTTCTCTTGCTCTCTCTGCAGGTGATGAGCTGGCTGTGTTTTGACACATCTCCAAGTCACAGATCTGCACCCAACCTGCTTTGCAGGGGCATATTTCCTTGTGTGCTGGAGACATGTTGAAACAATCTCATGACCATTTCTCCACCTGGGAAAAATGACTGAAGTTGACTTTGCTTTCACAAAAATTAGCTCAAGATGGCTGTGTTAATTGGCCTTAAGTAAACGAAACTGAGACATTTTAGTCTCTCCTCCATTCTTGGCCGCCGTGAAGAGCTCTGCAGGTGGAAGGGAAATGGAAATTTACAACTGACACCCCAAAAAGACCACTCCAAGGAATGCCGCCAGCCAGGCCGCTGGGGGCGGCCTTATATTATGTAATTCTTCCACCCAGGGAGGGAAAAAATATTGGAAACAAAAAGAGCTCTGGGCAGGGGAAGAGAGAAATCTGTGAAACTGTGCCAAATGTCAATGGGACATTAAGTGTTGATTCCAGGTCACAGGCCCATCTTAACTAGTGGTGCCTTATTATGTGCTCTTAAGTAGCTAGCAGTGGGAAGGGATCAGCTGCCATGCAAAAATAAAATACAAAATAATATTGGCCAAAGCTAGTGTTAATTGGTAGCAATGATGCTTTGGGGGATTACGGTTCAGCATACTAGGCCAGGAAGGGAGGGGGTGAGAAGCAGGATCACATTAAATCCCTTTTAACACTAAAGCCAGACAGAAACTCTAACGCTTGTGTGTAAAACACTTGTGTTCATTAGTTCTTTTCCATTGCTTTTAAATGTCAACATCTCACACTGTGGGTTGTTAATCTTCTAAACAGAAAACGGAAACCAACGTTAAGGATGGGGGAAAGCCATGATGGAAAATCCCCACGAGCTCCTAAAATACCTTTCTTTCTGTCTATCTGTCTGTCTTTCTTTCACATGTAGTGAAAAATCTCTGAGCTGGTTTGAGCCATAGGCCTTGTCTAGACTAGGAATTGACATGATATTAGATCTTATTATCTCAGGATAAAGCAATTATGTATAACATATGCTAACATTTTATCTATCTATCATCTATCTCTCTATCTATCATCTATCTATCTCTATCTATCACAGATTCAGTGGTGTCATTGGGTCCCCCCACCCAGGCCTAGCTTACCACATTTTGAAGAAAGTCATTATTATTATTATTATTATTATTATACCACCTTCAGCTGAAGTTCACAGGGCAATTTACAATATAAAAACACAAAATATTAATATAGTAACAAAAAACAGTATACTTCCCCCCAGACACAAGTAAAAGGCCATAAAATGTTCAATAGTTTTATGGCCTGTTTGTGCTTGGTGCCTAAAAACATGGAACAAAGGCACCATATTTTTGCCTAACATCTAAAAATAGAGAGCATTCATTCATTCATTTTAACTTACTAGTCACTTGCCACCTAAAGGGTCTTACAAACAGCTTACACTGAAAAATAATGATGCCAGGTGTGCCACCCTGGGGCTAGCATTCTATAAATGGGGAGCCACCACTGAGAAGGCCCATCTTGTGTTACCAGCCTTGGCACCTCCTGCAGATGGAGCAAATGTGTTCTCTTGCTCCAAAGACCAGGACTATAACTACTGTACGGCAATTTCAAGGCTAGATGGCTGTTAAGGATGTTGCAGTTGCATCCCACATTTGATTAAGCAGGAGATTGAATTTGATGGGGCTTGCTTCTGAGTAGCCATATATAGGCTTGCACTGTGAATCTGACATTATAATAATATAGATTTACTAGCAGAGGGGGGATACCCAAAATCCACTGCTTCTCACTTCATGTTTCTGGCATAAACTTGGGTAGGAGGGTTCTCCTGCAAATGTCACCAGTCTTTAAGCTATCAGTTAATCAGAATAAAAACTGACCTTTGTCAGAACACTTGTTTCCTTTAAAGATAGAACAATCTTTTTAAAAGAAAAGGAAAAGCTTGGGAAAAGGCTTTTACTGTCAAAAAAACCCCCACCCCATCAACCCTAGCTTGTACTAATCTTGGCAGCCTTCCATTTTGCCAAATCCACAAATAGCAGCTTTGTGAACTGGCCTTTTCATCACCCCCAAATCAAAATACAGAAAAGGAGCACAATATTGAAAGAAAGAATTGTGCTCCTTTTCTTTATTTTTATTTTGGGTTTATCAGTATCAAAAGAGCACCTTAGATATGTTTTGGTTTTTTTTTTTGTGGGGAGGAAATGCAATTTAGCTTTCCCCTCTGAGTGAAATATAATATCCATGTAGTCAAAAATTATCCTGTAGCTCCCTTCAAAACCAATGGCCTTATCATAATGCAACTGAGCATGTAATTTGCCCTTTGGATATGAAAACTGACATAAAAGACAACTAAATGTGGTAAGAAAAGGTCAGTGACTGACAAGTTGTCTAGGAATCAGGTCTTCATTCAAAAGCAAAATATGCATCTGCCCTTCATCCCCCTTTTCACAACTGGCCATTATCCAAGAGTGTGTGATTCTAGGCAAGGCTTGGGAGGCAGGAAGAGGCTATGTTGCCCTTCGAGGGCAAGCTTATGCGGTCCTTTGCTTTCATCTTGGGAGCCACAGCCATGGGTCTTCCAGTGAGACTAATGGATAATGCAAGAAGGTGCCTTATACAGAGTCAGGTAATTGGCCCATCTAGCAAATATTGTCTCCTCTGATAGGCAGCAGCTTTCCAAGGCCTTTGTTCTCTCCCAGATTTGCCACTGAAGATTCATTCTAGCACTGTGTGGATGGCAAAGCATGTGCTCTACCACTGAGCAGCAGGTCTTCAACTGTGCTTGTAGAGCACCATAGCTGAGCTTGGTGTTGTCCACCCACCTCTGGACTGGCAAAGGAGCCTATGCATTTGACTGTAGGTGTGTGGAAATGACATCACTGGGACCAGCCTTTCCTCAACCTTGTACCCTCCATGTGTTTTGGGCAACTCCCATCATCCCTGGCCATGGTCATGCTGACTTGGGCTAATGAAAGGAGCCCCAAAATATCTCAAGGATTTATTTAATCCAGTAGCACATCTAATATGTTATCAGCTCAACATTTGTCAGGAAGGACATTTTTATTCCCATTTCACATACCAGAGAACAGAGCAGTAGCGACTTAACCACCCGAGCAATCCGGGTCCAAACAGGGTTTTGAAACCTATTTGCTCTTCTTATGGATGGGCTCTCTGTAACTCATTGGTAGAGCATCTGCTTGAAATGCAGAAGATTGCAGGTTCAATCCCTGACATCTCCAGGTAGGGCTTTGAGAGACACCTGTCTGAAACCCTGGAGAGCTGCTGCCAGTCAGTGTAGAAAATACTAAGTTAGATGGACTGACTTGGTATAAGGCAGTTGAATATGTTTTTCCTAAGTCCACATCTACTGACCAAGGCACTGGGCTATGCAGACTCTCAAAAAATAAATAAAGTAAACTGTACAACTGCCTTTTAAGCTGGAATGCTGGTCTTCCTTAAGAGCATTTGACATAATGTGTATATGCCCCAGACTTAATTCCTGACTCAAGCCTGCACATCAGTGTTTACATTAAAAGACTTAAAGTTACTTAGAGGAAAAAATGGAAGCAGTTCACACTTTCAGGAAATAAACTTCAAGATTTATCAACAAAGAACATTTTCCTCCTACCTTAAAGTTCAAGATGCCAAATCCTGAAAGCCACTCAAAAGCTTCAAAAGGCAGGTGTGCTGTGCCACTATGGTATTATTTTCCTATGGATTAATAGGTATCGGATAGCATAAACAGAGGAAGTGGTCTGGTAAGGGAAGAATAGGGAACTGGGATTTGACATACTATAGGTCCAGTTTTGTTTGTACCATTATGACACTATTACAGCTGCTTAGCCTGCTCCCTGTGGCTCATTTTATCCCATCTGTAAAAAGTAAAATAAGGGGCAAAAGTTCATCATACATGCATTACCCTCACCTGATGTCTCAAAGCGGACCAGGACTTTAACTGTGTGAGGAGGAAAACCAATTTGTGGCCAAGTCTATTGGCATGGTCATATTTACTGTATGAGGAAGACTACTATTAAAATAGATTGTGGGTCCTTTTTTTCTTTTAAAAGAACAGCTGTAACAACACAGGGAAGATCAGAACCATAGGTTTGTAGTGATGTCTTTAAAGGGGGATTAGATAAATTCACAGACAATAAGGGTACTAGTCACATTCATGAATACTAGTTGTTGGGTTAACATGGACAGGAGAGTGCTGTTGGGCTTGAGTCCTGCTTGTGAGCTTCCCAGAAGCATCTGGTTGATCACTACCACCTCCAGTCCTCTCTGCATTTCCCTTGAGACTATCCCCAGGCCATAACCCCCTCCCTAGCTAGCCACTCTCTTGTCTCCCAAGGCTGTACCACTCACTAGCCACACACTTCTTGAGTGTTTTTGTCCACCTAGAATGTGCCCCTGAACAATGCCTCCTGCTTCCCTGGGTGGAGGACAGAGAGGGGTGTACAGAAACTAAGCTGCTGTACAAAGATACCCTTGTTCTGCCCACTTTTGCCTTTAGCCCTGCCCACCACTGGTGTTTGTCTCATGGAAGGTTGCTCAGAAGAGGAATCCCTTGGGCTGAGATTGGGTTCTCTGCCGCTGCCTATTCTTAGGGCATCTTGCCCAACACTTCCCCAAAACTTGCTGCTTCCACTGAGCAGCAGTGATCTTTCCCCTGTGTGTCGAATGGAGTGTTATTGCCCCTTATATATACCTCTGGAGAAATACATATATGAACTGTGAATGAAAATTACCACAGCTGATAATTACCGCTTTCTGTGGGTGGAATTCGGTTATTTATATGGGGCCTGGGAGAATAATTGAGATCTCTTCACTAACCTGTATGTTTTGCTTTTTATATATAAAAACACACACACATATTGGTTAATGGAGTATTTGCATATTATCAGTGTGCTTAATCAACACTGAGCCACCTTCTGTGGTTCATGTATAATTTGAAGATATGTGTTTTAATTCTAAGCCCACCTTTGAAACCCTTTTTCTGGCTAATTCCAGCTCGTAATCCCTTTGCATCGATCATATGGAATTTTCCAGCCTAAAATCTGCTTTCCATTTACTTTTCACCTTCAAATTGCAGTTCCCCAAGGTCCTTTATGGAGAACTATAAATTGCAGATAGACCTTCTTTTGATTCTTTTTTTATTCACACTTAATATCTTGCACAGTTAGCGAGCCCTCAGGAATTGCCATGTGCCCCCTCCCCATTATAACCAGGGTGGTAATAAAGTGGGGGATTTACAGAAAACCCTATAAAAGTGTGTGCAAGGGTAAATTGTATTTAGGCTACTACTGGGGAGAGAGGCATGAATGTACAATTATGAGAAGGATGTCCCTAAAGAGAGATTTCAATCCATCGCTATAGTCTAAATCCTCTATCTTGTGCTGCAAGAGGTAATTGAGGCAGAGAGGAGATTTTTTTTCTCTCCTAAAGAGATTATATTACCCGTCTCCTCTGTTGATGGATTTTATTGCTCAGGTTCACTGAGAGTTTTATTATTGCATTACTTAATCTGTTTTTGAGGTTTCTGAAACATTTTAAATATAATAATGAGTTGAGCTGTGTGCCTTCTGCTGTGTCCTTCCTATCTTATGGAGATGGGATCTATGGTGCTTTTAAACCTGCCTGTTATGTAAAACATATATATATATATATCCTGGCTTTGAAAACCTCAAGGAAGCAAGGGTTAAAAATTCAGCTGCTGTGGTTCACTTCCCTTAAAGGAGCATGAATGGAGAATGAATTTAGTATATACCTTATTGTTCATGTTGACTACTAACCTTCCTCTACCACTGTCAGTGAATAACCCATTGTCTGAATTCCATATGGAACTGGCTTGTTCATCTGACACCTATCTTCATCTGTCCTCTTATGAATAATTTGTTCACTGCAAGATTAATCTCATTTTAAATGTCTCACTCCTGAATGAGAATTTATATTTCTAGGCTCCTGGTACAGTAGACTGGCAGCCACACAAAGGTTAGGTGTTCAACACACACCTCTACCCATCCACCATCCAGGCAAGCAAGAGACTTTATCACAGATCAAGGACCTTTCCAGCCAACCAAAGGACACCTTAAAACCTAGGTTATGAGCGCAACAATGGAATGTCTAGGCACACTTTTTTATAACAAGAATACAAATCTGAAAATGAATGAACTGCAGCTAAAATATTGTGTTCATTTTTCACTTGGTCTGGTCCTTCTCCTGCCCACCCCTCTAATATTCTTAAGAGGGTCTCTTCTCCAGTCTTCAGAGAGTAGCTGGAAGTGGGGAGGCAGAAAAAGGTCCACTTTCCCTTCCACTCTGCAGTTTTAATCTCAAATCTTAGACGCAGTACTGCGCTCAGAACTCAGAAATTCCTCGTTCTAATGAAATTCCGTCGCAAAATGTGCCTAGAACAATGGGAGTTTCGAATGCTGGTTGAGATTTGCAAAGGTACTGCTGAAGGAAGGCACAACTAGAGACCTGTTGACTGGCTTTTCTAAAAGAAATTACTGATCAAGTACCGTATGTGGAAGCTGTAACAAAACAATAACAAATGGAGGAAAATGTATAATTGCTAGAGCAGATTCTTTACACATCCACATGCACACACTCACACTTTTCCAGAAAGAGCCTGTGAGTGACCACCTCTTGGTTCCTGGATATTAAAAATAGCAGGAGCCTATGACTAAATTTAAACCACATGACTTCTCCCAAGGAATCCCAGGAATTGCAGTGTGTTAATGGTGCTGGGAATTGTAGCAATGTGAGGGGTATGCTGCAACTTCCAGGATAGTTTGGAGGAAGGTATGTGCTTTAAATGTATGGTGTGTATGCAATCCATGCATTCAGAAAAGCTGCAGTGCACATTTATGTGGGAAGCAAGCACCAATGAATGAATAAACACAAATAAGGTCAGTACAACAGATGCCAAATCAGTTTGTGGTTTCCATGTAAAGGCAACCTTCTTTATTCTGGAGGCTGTTTGGAAAATGAGCAGCTAACCACAGTGCTCCTTGCTTTTTTAAAAAAAAAAAACAATAAAATCCAAATTGATCAAAGCAGGATTCCGAACAAAGCATCCAAATTTAGCAAGCTTATACTGGAAGCAAAGAGTAGTGTGTTGGACATGAAAAAAAAAAGTGTCGCTATTTACCTCTGTGAAATGTTGCAATGTGATGTCATGGAAACTGGGCAATGGCCATGTTTTCCCCAGTAGATAGTAGCAAGATGATGCTTGGCAATTAGGGGTGCGGGGAAGGGAGGCTTGGCCACTGGACTGCCTTGTCAAATTTGCAGGTGCTCTGCCTCTTTCGTCTAAGAACAAACTGCCCAAGTTTCAGCATACTGCTGCAATCTGCTCTGCTTTCTCTGGAGCTCTTCCTGTTTGTGGCAAATGTGTGGGAGGCTGGATTTTGGTTCTCATGAAAGTGAGAGAGGGTGAAAGAGCCAGGGCACATAACACATGCAGCTGCTGAATAAGCCTTCCCACTGTGGTATCATCCTGACACACAACCACAAGAACAGTGTTTTAAGCCTTGGTCTGCCAGCTTTACTTGGGGTGCCAAGTTGTGCAATTGCTTGTGAGTTTGTTGCTGTTTTTACTTATGTGCACCCTCCAAGGTGCTGAATGGAAATCACAGAACCGTGTAGTCGTTTTTAAAAAATCTGTGTATATTATTTTTGTGAGTATCTTAAGGCAGTTTGAACACATTTGTACTAAACCAGTAGTTCCATCACATAAAGTATCTTCCTGACCTTTAAATAAATGTTCTTTCACCTCTCTTCAGCCAGTTTCTCAAACTCGCAGCAACTTCACTGAACTTTTAACTAGATTGTTATAAGTTTGAATCTTTCATTGTAAGCTCATGGCTTCCCTTATGAAATATTATTCCTATAAAGATATCATTGTTGTTTTGAATCTCCTTCACTAACAAAAGTAAGTCAAATAACACAGATTAGGCTACCTATTTTGAAATGAAATAAGCAGTAGAAACAAATTATCTATTTTGTGTGGGGTGGGAATCTTTAGTTTTGTGTGTGTGTTTTTGGAAAGCAGCTAAAAGTTTGAAATGATCATTTATTTTTGTTGGTCAGGATAATTTTCAGTTTAGGCATTTGTTTATTTATTATTTAACATTTATATGTTGCTTGATTGTAAAACAAAAAGCCTCTTAACAGGGGGAGCCAATGTGATTCCACCAAATGATGTTGGACTGCAATTCCCATCCCAGAGTGATGCCGGGTA